ATTAACTTTAAAAATCTACTTTATCTAACTAAAACGATGTCTTGTATTTAGAAAATTACTCGCTATAGCAAAAATAGTGCATAATTTTGCAACGTTTTCTATAATATAAAACAAAATAAAGTGATGCACTAAGTTAAAAGTTATGAAAAAAACATCTTATGGTAGGATACAAAATATGGGTTCAACGAAAATTCGTCGCGGGAAATTTCGCCGTATAAAATCTCGCCGCATAGGAAAAATCGCCTAATTTTAAAAATATTCGTTATTTAAGAGCATACCCTAACCCTACAAATCTAACTGTTTTTATCACAAATACTTGTTTTACAGCGAAATGCTCTTGTGGCGATTTTTCCTATGCGGCGAAATTTCTTGCGGCGAGATCCCCTGTAGCGAAATTTCCTGCGCCGAATTTTCCGGACACGCAAATCATGAACTGTACGACAACCTGTCTGTTGTTCTTACCAAATAAAACAGGAGGATAATAACAAACACAGTGTTCTTGAAATCTTACTTGATTCCTGGGCAGATTGCATTCGGGTATCCTGACAAATTGTATGCTCTCAACTGCAGATATCCAGGTTCGACATATGGACGCATACTAGGTGGAGTCATGTTAAAAATCAAGTCAGTGCTTCCTTTGTCAAATGTAACTGGTGATATTGAAGCATCGTTTCCTGGGAATTCTGCCAATTATTGAAAATTAGAAAATATCGAAACTAGGAAGAAGGCAATAAATTTTATAAACAACTATTTAAATAATAAAAGTTATCTATTTTTCATCATGTGGACATCTGTACAAGAAATTGCGTTTTACTGCAGGCTACGGGTTGGTGCTCGGGTGTCGGAGTAGTATTTTCAAACTTCCGTAATTGGGATTCAACTCTTTGAATTGTTTAAGTCTAGTTTAAGGTAGCTTAAAGTCGAAATCTCCAACTAAAATCAATTAGTCTATAGTCGAGGGTAAAGTTTTTCAAATTTCCGTCTTCTGCATTCGCTAGCCAGAGTCGAAACACTTAGGATTAAGTCAGGTACCGGTACCGCAATCAAAATTTTGAATGAGTCAGACATTCATAAGCCCCACTGACTCCAATAATTTAAAAAACAGAATAGTTATACTTCCTGTAACTTTTAAATTGTTCGGAACATATAGAGTTCAACTTTGTGAGGGAAATATTTTTTGTTAAATAGCAATTGGGGAATGTTATGACCGAGTGTAAGTATATATCAATGTTGATCCGGATCACTCTGCAGTAACGCGAAACTTTGTACCAGTGCTTAACTGGCGATGGATGGTAGTTACCCAGCGCGGAGATTTTGGCGGGCCAGGTAGCACCTTCTTGGTGTTCAAGAATTGTCACGTTCGCTGGGATTAAATGTCCGTGTGTGCAAAAGTATATGTACTGGTTGCATATGCACATGGGTGCAAAGATAATGGTCACATAATCAGAGTTACTTGTTGAAAATTGAGGAATTCATAAAGACGCATCAAATTTTTGATTTTTTTCTTATGAATCGTCAATTTTATGGTCTACTCAATTTTAGAATTTAGTGTGGAGGCGTACTAAACGGAAAGCCGCATGTGACAGAGTATAAAATATGTCTTGCGATGGATCACAACATGTATATGGAATAATATTATTTTACTCATAATACGTGCTTACCTTTGAATAAGTCTTTCACGGATTCAACCGCCGTCAAAACTACATCTGTCACATTATCCAGTAGATCAACTGTAAATCTATATCCATTTTTTCTACATGCAAAATATAAAAAAATATTGTGCAGGCCATATTACAATTATTGACTCTGGAAGGATGATAATGATTCAGCTTTCGATTTCTTTGAATGTGATAGTGTAAATGCAATTCATTCTGATTACAGTGATTGAAATCTTCTTCAAACCTTCGCCTTTAAACATATTAACGTTGCGGACCGTTTGAATTAGATTTGATTTATCATCAGTGAGAAAGAAAATATTTGAAAATTAGCGCAACCAAGCTTATTTGAGACTAGAGCAGCTTACTTACTTATACACCCAATCGACTTAAGAGGGTCCGATCCCTTGTTGGAAACATACTATTTGAATATTTCTAATATTATCAGACTCGAATATAAATATTGAGTGAAATCAATTCATACCTGGTAAGCATGAGGTAACCCATTACGATGTTGGATGGGTTTCCTTCGGCGCGTCGTCTTATATGTCGTGAAAATGGATAAAATATATTTTCATGTTTAATAGATGACGGTTCGTTTGATTTCCAGTCCTGCTTAATTTAGAAAAATTGAAAAAACGCCGCAAACTTTTCTATCTGAGAGGTCTAATTCAATTGCACCGGCACACGTTTGCACCCACGGACATTTGCACTTGTAGAGATTTGCACCCATGTATATTTGCACCCGCTGACAATTGCACCCACCTATGTTTGTACCCATGGACAATTATACCCATACATTTCCAGCCATAGATTTCAGCCCCCGTATATAGATTGCACCCACAAACTCACTGAAAACTAGAACGCGATTACTTTAGATTTCCATCCATTAACCCAGATCGATAAAAACAACCGGCATCAATTCACCCTCCATTATGACGCAATGATACAAAGAGTAGAAAAGTGATGTAAATAACTTGTTCCATATAAATCTTGCTTTTGCCAAGTCGAGATCGTTTCTTGTTCTTTGTTATACTCTCATCCATTATTCTTTCTTGTAGCAACTCTCTCTTGTCTTGGTTTAACACTGACTTGATTAAATCATATACGCCCATTTTTCATCGTCATCTATCGTCGACTAACCACTGTGCATTCCACTATATGTTTGCAATTTTACATCGAAAGGAAAAGACCGACAAAAGTGTGATAGCATTGTACCTAGCAAAGACAGCAAAACGTAGCGACCCTGACCAAGAATACGGGCGACTTAAAATTTGTAATCCAATCTTCATTTCGAATATAAATTCATAGTTGGTAAAAAAGAATTGTCTGAAGACGGTTATTCGCAAACATGACTGTGGGTGCGTTCATGCATATGCGTGAAAATGTCATGGGTACAAATGTACGTGGATGCAGCTGTACGTAAGCACAAATGTTGGTACTCCCGAAGTATGTGAACCAAGATGGCGGACACCGGAACGTAGTATGTATACCAGATTAAGGTTAGGCCATAATTTTATTCCAATTTTCCGTATTTTAGTTCCATTACAAGTAGCCTACGGGCACTAGCAAATGACACCCGTAGTGTTTGTACTATGGCCTAACCCTAACATGGTATACATACTACGTTCCGGTGACCGCCATCTTGGTTCACATACTTTGGGAGTACCCAAATGTCCATGAGTGCAAATGTTCGTGGGTGCAAAAGTATGCAATACCAGTGATTCATTTATTTTTCAGAATTCGTGGAAATAGCGAGTATTTGATTTTCATTATCACATTTGTTTCCTCACCCTGATATTCGACACAAAAAAATGATACTCGCAAACTGCAGCTCTTGAAGGATCTATATACTCTATTGCTCTGTATTGGATTTTATAATTTCCTTTCGAAATCGTGTTGCTCAGCAGAAATTTCCTATCTGACGAACTACTACGTGCGTACACCTGTTAACAGAACACACAAATATATGACAGTGACTCTAGTAGTAAAACAACAGTGTAGGAAATAATGTAACAGTATTTGAATTACTTCAGTTTAGTAGTATGAGCTGTTCCTGTCTTCATTTGATATCACAGATACCATAATAAAGGGCTGAGTCTTGCTTGTGTTTAAATAAGTGTTGGAGCGAACAAGTCTGTGAATATAAAAAAAAATCCTGATGATGTATGATAAAAACATGAGGTAATAAAAAAAAAAGTTATAAAATTACAGCTGTTAGATTTGAAACTGGAGTTAGGTCAAAAAAATGTCGCGTTCTTTTGGCATGTCCAATGTCTACTGCGGAGAAATAACTGACCCACGAAATCTGAATATTGATGAAATAGAAGTTTCGCGCATACCTCGAGTAAAGGGGTGGAAACACTGCATAAAAGTACTGAAAGGAGTAAATGCAAAAATGTAATTACTTGCCTGAATTTTTGCCCATAAGAAATGTTGTTATATTCCTGATTACTACTTCGAAAACGAATCTAAACGTAGGAATTAACGATAATTTATTTGTCCCTTCGGTTATTTTCATTTGGATATGACTAATAATCATATATCAAAGAGCTGAACTGATTTTATAAGAATATATCTTGAAGTTAATTAGTAAGAAAATACAGATAGATGTTCGATTTGTGATATCCTTGACTCTGAAAACGCTATTGTCAGAGGGCGAACGGTGTTTTCATTAGCACATTGGGGTACGAACCTGCCAAGCAAGTTGTAACGTAATCTTTAGTTGAAGCAAGAAATTTCATTGCCCATAATGTTTGTGCAGACAAAATGAATCAACTAACAAATTGATTCACTAATTAAATATATCAGAACCGCACAAAAATATGCTATCGAAGTCAAATTTCCAAGTACAACGTGTAAGGATACAAATTTAACGAATCTCAAATAAATGACTCAAAAACAAATACGAATTTGGTCAAACTTATCAAAATTTTTAATAATTGAAAAAATTTGAGATTCGCATATTTGCAAAAATAATTAAATTTTACACAAAACTTGGAATAATTTCAATTATAATTACAACAGCATTGATATTGGGAAATATTAGAAAAAAATTATAAGTGACTTCCTGTATCAGAATTTATACTCTGAAGTGCGTAATTGAAATATCACCTGATTTCCATATTCACCATACAACATCGAATTTCTTATGTCCTGATCCCCATAAAAGTTCGTGTATTCATACCAGTCGGGGATTTTTGCTTTCATTTCATGTGCTTTACTCACCAGAGCATTCAGTAATTTTTCCGTTCTTTTTTCTACAATATTAAAGCAATATGAATTCAATTAAAGAATACAGAATTGCTGTAAATATGAAGTTCGTGAGCAATTGCATTTAACTAACTAACCATTCGTTATTTTCAATGGATAGTGATTTTCATACATCAACTTGAGATTTCCACCAACTTTTTTGATAAAGTTATTACTTGTTCTGTATTGTAATGTAGAGTTTTCTTTCATATGAGAAACTGGTGAATCTGTTTGCGTGTGCCATATCATAACGTTAGAAGCCTGGTAATATTAAACAATTTATGTATGTTATAAGACGATGAGGATTGATTTCTGCATTTAAGTAATTCAATCTTCCTACAAACTGCTTGATCAATGCTTAGCAAATAGCAAGGAGACTCACATATAACGAAAAATAAGCCATGTTTTTATAATCGCTGCTTGTACATTTATCAATCTCTCCGACCACAGTCTCATTTTCCCAGTTACTCACACCTGCGTGAGCTTGTTGGTTTTCAGGAACATAGCTTGACCAGAAATCATCAGATCCACACTTTGTTTCAATATTACCATCGTGAACACTTGCAACTAAAGTCCATCCTCCACCGTCAGTTGACATATCGCAATATACCTTAAAACAAAAATAGAATCTTTCAAATTCCAAGAATGAAGCTGCATCAACAAATTAGTAGAGGATCTTTATAGAAACATAACAATGATATTAACCTGTATTTCTGGTCTGAGCTCGCTTGGCTTAATTTTATAAATTCCATCGGATTTTATTCCCTGAATCTTCAACTCGAGGCAAGATCTTGGAAAACTCATTGGAGATGTTGAATTTATGGCCTGCAGTGATTTTAATATTTAAAGAGTATTGTTTATACAAATATATGATATATATATATATATATATATCTAGATCTAATTTGCTCAACAGGAATGAACTCGATTGAATTTTGTTGCAATTTCACAAGAGAGTGTTATAAGCTAAGTAAAAGCCATTGATAATTTGATAGCAAATTGTTGGCCTTGAATCTAATAGTCAAAAATCGGATTGCTGAGCGTACTGCTGATTGATCAGTAGTGATTGAAAATAAATCAATAGATTCTTAACTACGTTTGACAATTTGGCAAAATATGGAAGTGAACCAATTTCTTTACAGCCACAGCCTTTTATTTAAAAAATAGATGTTCTTATGGATTTAGCGCAACTTTAACTTCTTAAATTTCTAGACTTTCGTATGTATTAAAATCATTTTTGTTTGATATTGACATTTGTTGATAAAATTCACAAATATTTTTACGATAATGTGTTTCGATGCACATCCTTAATTTTTGATGAAATAATTTTCTGTAAAAATATTTCGTAACTGTAGAAACAAATAGATATAAGATACTTGTATATAAATGTTCATCTGTACGATAATAGCAACAAGCAATCCTGATAATATTACAAATCCCACACCAGCAGCAACATGATGAATGCTCGTTTTATTCTTTTTTGTTTTTGTATTCTGGGCAATGATATTGACTGGTGATCTGTTTGTCGGGATAGAAAATGAACTTGGATCTAAAAAAAGATAAAATCTAACGTATAAGTCATATTTATCAGAAATGAAAAAATACCAAAAAAAAAAATTCTATTACTATCTGACCTGGTTGATTCTCATATCGAATTGCGGTTTCATATGTGCCGTTTTCTTCGAGCTCATAATGTTGATTCATTTTCAATTTATATTTAGAAGTGATGCTTCTTACTCTCTCTCTTCAGTTCACCCAAAATGTTTATTCTACTGTCAAAATCACATTTGCACAGAATACATATTCAACATTTATTTGTTTTTAAAAAAAAAGTTAAAACTGCCGACTTCTAAAACTTTATACCACCATGCAATTATTCTATAAACCGATCAAGTACTTAATTCAGCACGAAAACGGGATATTTTTATTAAATAATGTCATATAAATGTACTAGATTCAAACGGTGTTGAAAACTATTTATTAATATATTTAAATAATCAAAAAAGCGTGTTTTAATTTGCAATATTATTCCCACGTATTCATCTTTGTCTTTTATTGTTAAATTTTATGTGAATAGTATAAGTTTCAGCAAAATGGCCATAGACACTTCTTCTGATTTATGCCAGATGGATACCCAATACACTTTATTTTGAAATAGACACTATTCAACAGGCACATGATTTTATATAAAGCAATGTTTCATATGACATTCTATGTTGTATGCCCACTATTCTTTTTATAACCTGGCTACCAAACATCCGGATGTACTACTGGAAATAGACAAATAATGTTATATTAACATCAATATTATTATTAATATGTTAACATGCATTGAAAATAACATACATGCAAAAGTGAAACTCCGCGCCTCGTTCATGACACACGCTATGAACCTGTTACATTAATGTTTTTTTTTTAAATATTACATATTTAAATATCAATAATGAAGTTTATTCAATTTATGTTATAATCGTGATAGCGGATGGTATAGCATTTTAATGGCATTCATTACACCTGCACTGCAAAATACTGCCGAACTATTTTGCAAAATTCAAATGCGTGTTTTGTACGATATGAAATTTCAGTGTAATAATGAGACGATAAATGACATGTAAATTTAAATGATCTGAAAAGTATTCATTCAAATTTTAGGCCTGTACTCTGCTTTAAGCTGCGTCAAGTTACACATCTCGAATGCAAGATTCTGTACGACTCCTCAAGCTTTAATCTAACATGAAATTAAAATGTTTGTCGTTTCATCTCGTTGATCCCTTTGATTTTATCGTCGTTTTAACTGGGCATTATATTAGGCATTCAGAACAAAGATTTTATTTGTTTTTATCAAAGACTTCACGGTGGATTTTTGAGAAAGCTTAGTCCCGTCAGGCCCCGTTATCTTAAAGCAGAGGTGGGCAACTTCTCCAGTCGGCGGGCCAGATGTGGAAAATGAAGTACTCGGCGGGCAGAATTATTACAAAAAATACTTCGGTATCCAATCTTTTATAAATGCTCAACACTCTCAGTCAACTTTACTCTTCTTGGTATATTCCATGTTTAATAAAACTTAATATAAAATCTAATTTCTAAAATCTATTTATATTTAGAATATAAATATAACTGATAACAGTTGTAGGAATGTTTACAACGCTCTCTGCTTTGACCTTATATTGTTTGTTTAAGTGTGCTAACGCAATTGTTTGTTCACAAAGGCAATTGTTTATTCCACCAGCTTGCACTGACAGTGCGTTGAAAGTAGAGCGATTGGCAACTTTCAGGAATGATGCGTCGGACCACATTACAGAGTGTGATTGGATAGAGTTAGCGGGCCGGACAAAATCTCGGGCCGTATGTTGCCCACCCCGTCTTAAGGTGATCTACCTCGCACCCTATGCAGATGTTGCGTAGAGGAGTTTTAGCCGTTCTTGTTTCATTGGTCAAGTTGAAGTTTAACTCACAATCGGTGATAGAAAAGCACTTCTGAATAAGCTGGAAATCTTTGCCGGTTGTTCGTGGCGAAATCGTAGGTATTCTCACAAAAAAAGACACCACCTATTGGAAGGCTACATACATTATTTACGAAGATTGCTATCGCATTTAATTCGAAAAAATCAGAAATTCAAAAATTCGTATAAACGGTAAATATAAATTCTACGTAATACATCCGTTAGTATCTCTATGATAATATGGGCTTTGTCATTGCTTCCTGGTATCATATGCGTAGTATTATTGTCATGGGATATTAAAACAATGCAAAATTCATTCGTGTCCGATTGACATGCGGGGACGGTATTTATGATATAGTCTAATTATTTTTCTCAGGTGTCACACATGCAATAAAAATAGAAATACTGTAATAGAGTCATAGTTTGAATAAGAAGACATGGGAATTGCGAGAGTTCGCGAAAAAGATTATCTTGTCACTTTGAGTGGAGGATGCAATGGTTACCGGACCCACAGCGTTCGCATTTGGGGTCTCGTGAATACGAGTGAAATCTTTTTCCAAGTGTCACTAAACTATGCCACATATATTTAAATTTTACCAAAACAATTCAAAACTTGGATATCTGAATAAGCTTGTCATTTTGATTTTAGTTCAGCCAATGAACTATATATCAAAAAAGTTGATATATGCCGTTACTTATTCCGACTCCAGAACAGTGGTGGATTTAGAGTGTTCGCAAGAACCCGCTCTCTGAATGTCGTGATAATTAGCATTTATTGCTAGGTCGCGTGAAAACAATCCTTGCTACGTCGTCGCAGTGTTGAATATCGACATTGCTAAAGGTGGTTCAACGTCGGCTAATAGCCGAAAATATTAGTTATATCTGTTATATTTCTAAAATATGTATCACATAAATATTATTTTTAAATTTGTTTTATTTCATAAATTGAAAGTAATTATTATGTAAAGCATATATCTGTTGCGAAGACGTTATAATTGCAAAAATAGTTTACTTCAAAATTACTAATGTTCAAGTCCCAACTTTGTTTCACTATTTTTGAATCTATACTATACGTCATCACTCGAATAAAAGTTATCGCCTATTTGAAGATTACTCATTAAATTGCCTTTAGCAATTTCTGAAACGGATTTCAACTAAATTTCTGTTCTATTACGTCAATATTGTTTAATGCTGTTGAGAATAATCATTGTTTAGAAGCATATTATGTTAACTATTTTTTTTTCAATTTATTATTTTATCTCTATACTATATATATAGCGCATAGCGCGATATAATATTTTTCTTTGCTGTTGAATGAATTAAACTACAATTACTTTGCAAATGAACACATAGACAGATGATTCTAATATTACTTCAACTCTAAGGAATCGTTTATATTACAAGTTCGTTTATTATCTGACAAAACTGGGATTCACTGTTTTATGTAACAACACAAAAATGTTTCAACAGTGAAATTATATAATGTTAGTGAACAGTATAAAATAACAGTTCTGAATGAAAAAAAAAAAAAAACAGAAAAACTGCTGTTTGAAAACTGTTTAAATTCAATGGGTAATACTTGTTCAAAGTACTTGTTTACACTACATAATATATAAATACTATATACAAATTATTGGTATTTCGTGTCAGAAAAATACACGCAACATTCATCATCTCCTTTATGCTGGACAAACAAGAGTGCGGTTGTTTTTACAGTATTGTCGAATAATTTTCTGTAATAATAAAAAGGTGGTTTGAAATTGAAATTACTGTTTTTCTGACAATACTACAATGCAAAAATTAATTTCATTTAACAATTATTTTTCATCGAATTCGAGTATGATATTGATGGAATAAATAAAAAATAAAGTAGTTTGTGAAGCATAAACGGTTGTAGAAAAATTAACATTCTTTGATAGTTATGCAATTGCAGGACTTGAGATGCCTCAAGGAGGTTTTCAGTCATGTACCACTAGTGAATTCACTCACTCAACTGCATATCTTTGAGATAAAGTGCGTAGATAGTATAAATTGAACTTACATAGTCGCGCTTTGGAATGCACACACCAAAGAAATGTTTGGGAAGTTCTTTGTCGATGTTTTCTTTGGGACAAATTGGCTCTATCGGAACGCAAATCAAATTTTTTGTCGGGTCACATTTTCCATCTCTCCCCCATCTTCCATTACAGGATTCACCTTTCTGCTTTGAGCAAACATCGCAGCATCTGTACAAGTATATATTTCAGATGGATAAATCTGAAGGCTTGGTTGATTTTGATCCTACAGCTATCACAACGCAGTTGATGTTAAAAAATTGTAAAGCTGAATTTATGTTGAATCAGACCTCAGAATTTTAAACTGTGAGCTGCAAAATGCTTGCTTTTCGTGATTCAATATTAGTTTTATGCGAAATACTTGAGAGGTCTTCAGACACTGGCGCTGGCGAACACTGTCCGTACACCTAAATACCACCTAAAAAATATATTATGTACAACAAAATGAATTTGTCTAAATTTAATCGAAAGAAAAAACTTGCGTTTTAAAATGATAATAAATAATTCTCACCCACAAACGTGTTTCACGAGCCCAACCCCCTTTTCACACTTCGGCTCTGGACATGGAGTCACACGTCCTTCACATGTCCCTCCACATAGAAATGCATCTGACACTGTGACCAATATGCTAACGGCCTCAAGAACGCTTAACCACTTCATGCTCGTCGAATTGTTTAACTTTTATCGTGTAATTTTTAAAAATAATAATATTTATCATTTATTGTCAAATTTTATATAAATACGCAAAATAGTAAATTCGACGGAACTTAGTGTTTGCAAGTAAATATTCGCGTTAAAGACTTCTTTAAATAATTACATCTCTCAATACTGCTCCAATTATTAAAACCTATATTTAATAGTTTGCTAATACAACAAATTATGTAAACTCGTCTAAAAACAAACGTTTTCGAACTTACAAACGATACAGTTTCAAGAATCTAGTAGGAGAACACCCTTTCATTTTTTATGCCATATTTTTTCTTCTGTTGACTCAACAGTAGCAAAAGTACCATTTATTCAAATTTTATTCATTAGTGAAATAATAAGAATAACTTTTATGAACTCGTTATTCCATTGAGGTTGTTATCAGAAAAGTTACTCATATCATGATATTTTCGATGCGTGTTTGTTATTACTTTCTATGTGCTTTTAAATATTTAAAGAAAGATTCGCCATGTTTCTCATTTGTGTGATATTTCGATGTCAA